CACCCACGCTCATACTCACTCCCACACCCACCCACATCCACACCCACATGAGCTATTGTTAACACTCTGCTCATAATCAAAACAAGGCTTCTCTCTAAAACCTCTGAAAATTTTCTTCTTAGTTGAAAATCAAGAATGGGTGGCAAATTATCTGTGATAAACGATCGTTTGCATGATTTTGAAGTTTTGCATGCAAATATCTTTTCTCCTGGTCAAGGCATTTGTTTACAACGTTTGGAACCAGAAGGAAGTTCAGAATTCAAATTTGATTACAGTCTAGCATATGGATCTTGGTATGACATTCAAATTGTTGGTCGACCCAAATCTGCGGTAGCGAATGATAAAGTTCAACGATATCTGACAAAAGGCATCTATCTCAGTAATGGAAAAAAAGTAAAGATCAGTGCACTTACAGCTGAAAAAAACCATGATCTTGGCGCTAAATGGAACTGTGGAAAGTGTCACAAAGACAATTACGGGAGTGTGCGAGTGTGCGAGTTTTGTTTTACCAATAGATCACAGACAATAATCACAGTACTATCATTTTTACCCGTTATTGGTCTTCCATTTTCATTAACAAATGCTGTCCTTCAATGTGGTAAAGCTGCCCAATCAAACAACACTGCAGATGAAGTCGATGCTGGTCTCAGTGTAGCAATGTCTATAGTAGATGTTGTCACGACACCATTCATTGTTGGTTCTCTAGTGACAATACCTGCTAAGGTGGCTGCTGAAACTGGCATTAAATTAACAGCCAAAACCGTCTTCTGTGATGCAGGTAAACCGTTGTTGGTTGCAGTTGGGAAAGAATTCGGAAAAGGAGGAACTGTAGCTACGGTAAAAGTTGGTAAAGCCGCAGTTGAAAAAATTATTAAGAAATTAGAATGATCCAAAAACAAAAACTGTACGCATAGTTTTGATTTTCCGTATGAGTATTTTTGTCAACAATACTTTATCAATTTTGATAACTAAAGATGCTTTGTACTTAGAGGTACTAGCCAATCCTTCAATTGGTGGCAACGAAAAGTTTTCAAGATATTGACGACCGTGGCGAGCGGCCGTGGGTGGGGGTGGGGGTGTGGATGTGGGTGTGGATAAGCGTGGGTGCCGGTGAGTGTGCGTGTGGATGGGCTATGAGTGCGGGTGTGAGTTCTTCTTGCACGATTAGAGAGACTCACACCCAAACTCCACACGCACACCCACACACCGACACCAATACTCACATCCACACCCACACCCACACCCTAGTGTTGGGCGTTGGGTGTGGATGTGGGTGTGGGTGTGGGTGTGGGTGTGGGTGTGGGTGTGGGTGTGGGTGTGGGTGTGGGTG